GATTTAAATAAAAGCGAAGAAAAGAATGGAAAAGAAAATGAGGACAAGAAGAAGAAGGATAAGAACAAAGACAGTGATAAGGATTCAACGGACACGCGATCGTCGACTACCACAAGGAGGGGTCGCAAACCTAAAGCTCTTAAAGCTGAAGGAAAAGACAAGACATCCAAAGAGATGAGTGGTTCGTCTCTTAAGAAAAAGCTTCAAAAGGGAAAGTCTGACCGAATGGCGATCGCAGAACTCAAAAAGTCTGGCAAACACTTCCTTCAGGGGGGTTCGTGTGTAGAGGTGGCGCCCAAACTCCCCAAATGTCGCGAATGCCGAATGACTCCAACCCAGAGAAATCGAAAGCCAACCATATTTTGTCGCTTTTATGACTACCGAAAGTTAGCCTTTAAGAGCAATATCCTAACGATCGCCGGTTTCTCTCAACCACAAGATGCCAATGAAGAGGACCTAAAGCTATGGCTTCCGAGTGAAGAGCTGCCCACAGACCTAGACGTGGAAACGGCTAAGTTTATGATCGCACACGTGGGCGACCAGTTCTGTGACTTAGTTAAGCAGGAAAAAGAGGCACAAGTAAGTGATGAATGAATTTCATTTAATAACAATTAATATCATTAAAACTAAATTCAATTCTAAGAGTAAGTCATGTTATGTTAAGTCAATACTATTGACACAATTGGGTCCGACTGGTCTTAACTGACGCACAAGAGTATGAGAAGGGAATGGGTCTCTTGAAACAAGCCTTCAGTGTCTATAACAGCGACACTGTGGAAGAGGTTTCGCCCCCGAGTTGGTACCCATCCAGGAAAACAGCGTTCACTTCCTCCTCGTCCACCACTTCATAAAACTCTTAGAATTGAATTTAGTTTTAATATTAATAATTGTTTTTATAATTATATAAATGTTGCCATTATTTTCTAATTATATGACTAACCGCTAACAGCTTCTACACATGGGATCAACCAATAAGAACATAACGTGGAAGAGAGTGGTTCAGGGGGTACGGGAGATGTGCGATGTGTGTGAGACCACTCTGTTTAACATCCACTGGGTTTGTGACAAATGCGGTTTTGTGGTCTGCATTGACTGCTATAAGGCCCGCAAAGTGGGCTCAATCAAGGAGGAGGAGTGTCCCGCCAAAGACAGGGATGGCTTCCAATGGCTTCTCTGTAATAATCGTCAACAACACGAACCCAAGAGTCTGGAAGTGACTCAGATTATAGCCGCCTCTGCGCTGTCAAGTGTGGGCCGAATGCTTCACAGCCTTCGCACCAAATGGGGCATCAGATCCAACTGCACGTGTGTTAGTGTTTCACTCAAAGACATGGCTCACAAGAAGTCCAATGGATTTACAAAACAAGTGTTAAGTGTTGTGAAGATTGATAACAAACAAGTGAATGGTGTGAATGAAACCAATAAGAACTGGAAATCAATGAACGGTGCGGTGGCTATCATTAAACAGGAAACCGATAGCACACTAACCGGCTATAGTTCAGAGAGCGGTAACTCTCCCCTCAGTTTCTTCGTGGACGTCGCCCTCACTTCAGAGAAACTCATTTCCAAATCTCCGACCATTAAAGAGGAATCCGAACAAAAGGCTAAGAAGAGGGCGTCTATTAAGTCAGACAAAGACATTGAAATGTCGAGCGATGGCGACGACGATAACAAACACTCGACTTTACGCGAACTACTGATGGGACCGACATCTAAGGTTACAAAGGATAGTAAATCAAACGGTTCACCACTGAATGACTCGCAAAAGACGACAAACCAGTCTCCAGAACACGAGTCTTCAGATTCGGACACAAAGGACGAGAACTGCGAGAAGAAAGAGCCACCAAAAGAGTTACAGCACTTCACGAGACGATACTTTCCGCTCCGCAAAGAGTTGGATCCGTTGCCAATCATATGTCGAATTTTGGACGAGACGAAGAAGCAGTTCCCTCTCATACCCCACAACTGGTTCTGCGGCGGAAGACTTCTTGTATTGCACGAACCGAAGAATAGCGAAAATATACACTTATTTCAAGAACAGTGGATTCGCGGACAGGTTTGTCATGTTTGTGATGAATGGCATTGAAATTGGTTATAATGTTTACCTTTTATACAAACAGCCGGTTCTGGTGAAAGACAATCACAAGAACCTGAACGGCCAGCTCTGGCATCCGGACTCTTTCAGCAAGGATTTCGGTGACATTAAGAACGATTTGGTGAACTGTTTGAATGGAGACATTCTCCCCAAACAACCGATGAGGAAGTTTTGGGACGGTTTCGAGAGCTTACAGATCCGTATGAAAGACAAATCGGGAGAATACATGCTTTTGAAACTGAAGGACTGGCCGCCGGACGAGGAGTTCAGCGATTTATTGCCCTCCCGTTACAAAGATCTGATGGCATCGCTTCCACTGCCCGAATACACCAACAGAAACGGTGTCCTTAACCTCGCGGGTCGTCTTCCAGAGTGTTTCGTTCGACCAGATTTGGGACCAAAGATGTACAGCGCGTACGGGTCGTGCCTTCACGCCGATAGGGGCACCACTAACCTCCATCTGGACATCAGTGATGCTGTCAATGTCATGATCTTTGTGGGCATTCCCAAGGAGACCAACAAATCGGAAAAGGACTGTCTTCAGGAAGTGCTGACAGCCGTAGACAACGCCGGTTGTGATGAAGTGATGAAGAGACGCATCCGCGAGAAGGGCGTCAAAGTGGGCGCTCTCTGGCATATATACAACGCCAGAGACGCCGACAAAATCCGGGACTTACTCAACAAAGTGGCGATAGAAAGGGGAGAGTCTCTCGAACCACATCACGACCCCATTCACGACCAGAGCTGGTATTTGGATGAACACCTCCGAAGTCGACTGTTGAAGGAGTATGGGGTCGAGGGGTACGCCATCGCGCAGTGTCTGGGAGACGCCATATTCATACCTGCCGGTGCTCCCCATCAGGTGCGCAATCTGAACAGTTGTGTCAAAGTCGCCGGTGATTTCGTGTCTCCAGAGAATGTGAGCCATTGCTTCAATTTGACGCAAGAGTTCCGCCAGTTGTCAGACACCCACACCAACCATGAGGACAAACTGCAGATCAAAAACATTATATACCACGCCGTCAAAGACGCCCTCTCTGTCCTCCGCAACCATCCGTCACAGCCCTCCCATTGACCCCCCCTTAACACCGTATTGACGACTCTATACTCAATTGATTCTTAAGAAGTTCTTAATACTAGTCAGTCTTCTGGGAATACATTGGTTCCCGAAGACTTGATGTGCATTTGTGGTCATTGCGGTCAATGGCCTCACAAGCGATCCATTTGTAAGCATTGTATTAACGGCTCATTCGATGTAATTATATATGAATTCAACAATACTTTCGACTATTTTGTTGCAAACATTCATTCATTGATTCAGTGAATCGATTGAATCGCAAATATGTATTTCTCGAGTTGTGTATTGTGTAACAAAATCAAAAGCACATTATAAACTACGGAATATACTATACTATAGACCTAAAAACAAGTAAAAAATAGTAAATAATTTATTAAAATAAAATACAATTTCTGCTTTCATTCAGATTTGTTTTAAATGCCTTTCAATTGCATTCAATTGACGGCTCACTCATCAACACTTGTATCTAATTATTAGATATTATTATAATTATTAATAAAATATCAATTATTATGTCTATGTGTCTAATCATTGCAATCACTGTTCCCGACCCCCACTGACCACTGGTCACCAAACTGACCAGGTACACACACACCCTACCATATCATAATAATATACAGTAATATTTATATTACCGTACACTAATAATAAGGTAGATAGAATAAGTTATGTCTATCATATGTACAGTAAATGTATACAATGTATAACAGTTACTGTAAATTGACCTGGAGTAACACTTTCTATGAATAGTATTATTATATACTGTAGTCGTAAGTAAACAGCATTTCATAGTGTAATGAATGTTGCATTTGATTGCATCAGTCATTCACTGATTACAACGAATGCAACAAAAGTTGTCAACAATTGGTCACAAATTTGTAATCGAGACGAACACCACAAGAATTATACCATTTATGGATTCATTTGACCAGTTGTTCCCATATATTAACCACGAGTTACGAAGAGGTGAACAAATTTTATCGTTTATTGGTTTGTATTTTGTTTGCAAATTGAGTGCAAAACTGTTGTATAGATTACTGAATGCCAGCTATTGTCACATTTGGACACAACTGGTCCAAAGAGGTGACAGTGGAAGTGGTGATGAGTGGGCACTCATTACAGTGGTGTCCGACAGCACCGGACACTCGTTCGCCAAACGAATGGCACAAAAACCTAAGTTAAATTATGAGCAGCTGGTTTTGCTTCTATAAAATTCTGAAAACAGTTTACTCTATAATAGACTTATATTCCAAGTCCACTACTGGTAAGTGAGCCTGAAGTCAGTTCCTAACCTTCGCATTGAAGCAATGAGAGAGAAGATAATCGATAAAAAGATAACAGTTTTGGTGAACAATGTCTGTGGAGTCCATGAATTGAGTGATCATTACAGACCATTCACTCGGACTTCAGTCAAGGATTGGAAGCGTTTGAAGCAATGAGAGAGAAGATAATCGATAAAAAGATAACAGTTTTGGTGAACAATGTCTGTGGAGTCCATGAATTGAGTGATCATTACCTGGATTTAAGTCCACAACAAATATACAGAGTTTTGAATTCAGAAATGGCTTCAGTTTTGATCATCACTTCAATGGTTTTGCCACAAATGGTAAGCCGAAGACACGGACGTGTAATCAATATATCATCGCTTCTGGCGCTCAAACCCACGCCATATCTGTCTCTACAGTCGGCGTCCAAAGCATTTGTCGATCACTTCTCGACAGCCCTGTCCTATGAGTATCGACGCTATGGTATTAGATGCCAATCACTTATGCCGTCCTTTTGCAGTAACAAATCCAGCAGTTGTTTCACAAGACTTACAGCACCTACACATCAAACTTATGCTAACCGTGCCATCAATACTATTGGATCCACTGACAGAACAACCGGCTATTTGTGGCACGAATTGCATTACTTTATGTTAAGCCGATGTCCGCAACCAATTTGGTCTTCAATATCATATTATTCTCGAAATTCTTTGAAATCATATCTCATTTCAAATTCAAATTCAAATTTATTAATACATAAATAGTTTATGATTTAATCGATTGTATACTAAATAAAAACATAGAAATCGTGTATTTATGAAGAGTTTATTCAAACACTGATTTCGTCCATTAGTTGAAGAGATTGTTTGAGTTCTGGAAATAAGCAAATCATATAATGAGGCAAATGGTGTCCTATTGTTGACAACGGGATCAACTCATACCGTACAACAAAGCGGACAGTTTCTCATGAGTCACATAAAACATTGTCTTCTCGTTCATGTGATCTCGAAGTGTGTCAATACTTATTTGAAGTGCCGGTGCCTTCACTCTATGAGTTGAACCATTGAATTGAGTATCAATTTTATATTCAATTGCATTCAAACGACTCACTAAAACGTGTCATTAATAATCAAAATTAAAATCTATTATTAAGTCAAATGTTTGACGAGAAAGCAATACATCTAAGACTTCGCTGTTTGAGAGCTTCTTGGAGTCGATCGAAGTTTTCTGAATACACGCGACAAAGGGATGAACTGTGCTCTGACCACAAGATATCACCCATTATTACAGTGAATCACTGCATGTGTCAAGTGATGGTTACCTTTGGGAAGACCTAATTGTTGTAATTCGTGGGAAAGTGTTTCGCTGTCTGTATTGTATTTGGAAGAAGTGGACAAAATGTACTGAACCGCTGATATACACGCCTTCATGTCTTCCGTGTCCAGTTTGGCATCGGATCCCACTTTAACCATCTTTTCAAACTGTCACCCAAATTGATACACAATATAGTATTAATTGGAAACTATTATAACATATATTTACATTCATTTGATTGTCAATCAAATCCATTACACATTCATTGCATAAGAGTTTCATTTTAATGGATGTCTTAAATGAGAAGACAATAAGTGTTAGAATAAGACAAATATAAGACAACAGAGTGTGAGAAGTGGTTACGAGTTTAGAGAGCGAAGAGATTTGAGCCAAAAGCCAATCCTGACAGTCGTTTTGTCCACAAAACCGGAACCTCTGAACACATCAAACAATCAATGAGTTTAACACGCGTTTCATAAATCAAACATCAATTCAAACCATTATTTCGGTGACAATTGGATGTGATTTCTATTTTCAAAACAAACTCACATTATATGACAACCAGTTTTACAATTTCATACACCGATTGAGTCGACTCTCTCTCTCTCTCTCTCTCTCTCTCTCTCTCTCCATAGGCTAAAGTGGGTGTTGTTTAGTATGGATACGGGATGTATTGGAGGGATGGATGGACTGTTAATTACGGGTATTTACGGACAGGTATTTCATACAGTATTTAGAGTAGGATTGCATTTGATGGCTATAAATATTAGATTATGGTCATCAATTTAGTCATACTTTATAAACTCGAGCACAATATTCATTTTTAAAATTATCCTGGTCGAATTTATCAAAATTTGATAAATATTTAATATTAGATTCTATTAAATTTAGTTAGACTCTAACTGTTAAAGTAAATTTAAAATAATTACACATAATCTATAAATTTTTATTTGAGGTTTTAATAAAACAAAAAACATCTTTATTTTAATTAAAATGTAATTTATTTCTAATGATTACGAAATAAACCTTTAATTGCATAACAAATCTTATTACTGTAGACTAATATTAAGACTAAGATTAATTAAAATAAATTCATTAGACTATTGCTAAAACCAATAGATTGCCCGAAATGAGTGTTTTGGAGCTATAGTTAGCATCAGTTTACGGGAACTGTTTGACGGCATCGTTGATGGCTTTGGCCACGTATTCAACATTATTGGTGTTAATTCCACTCAAACTGATGCGACCATCCTTTGGAAGGTAGATGTGGTAGTTGTCCA